ATTGACAATGCTGTTAGCAAGGATATAGGAATTAGAATTTCTCTACTGGTGGTGAAAATGTAAAATAATACAACCATGTTGGAAAAGAATCGGTTAGTATCTTATAAAATTCCACATATATTTACCACATAAACCAGCAACTTCACCCCTGGGTGTTCTTGCCCGAGAAAAATGAGAACGTCTGCACAAAGACTTGAACATACTTGTTCATGATGACACCGTTCACCATAATCCAAAATGAGAAACAATCTGAAAGTTTATGGAAAAGTAAAGTGCTGTATGTTCATGCCATGGAATATTATTCAGTAATGCAACAACATGAACAAAGTTATCCGGGCCTTAACTAGAGGCCTGGCCAAACCACGTTGCTTCCCTACCATTTTTTTGGTGGCCCGTGCTTGCTTTTGTAATATAAACCAATATAAATACAGTGGCACCTCAGTTCACAAACTCAGTTCTCTCCATGATTCTGGTCACAAACCAAACTGGAAAAACCAGCTTAAATTTCCCCATAAGGTCGACATTGAACTTAACCTTTGAATTTGATTTAGTTCTTATCCAACTTGGTTTGCAACCAGAATCATGGAAAGAGTCAAGTTTGTGAACCGAGGTACCGCTGTTCATGGTTGCACAGACGAACACAATGCCCACACACCAAAATATGGGTTTTTAAAAAACCAGGTTGTATATTGGGTAGTTTTAATTTGCATACACTGTAGTTTACATTTGCATTTCCCTGACACCCAGTGTTATAAAGGGTATTCTAATGTGTCTATTAGCCCAGAGATTTCCTCGAAATTGGTCTACAGCTGGGCGTGGTGGCACACACCTGTAATCGAAGCACTTGGGAGGCTGAGGCAGGAGGAAGGCTAAGGCAGGAGAATCGTTGCAAGTTTAAGACCAGCCTGGGCTACAAAGTGAGCTCAAGGCCAGCCTGAACTGCAGAGCAATACCCTGTCTCAAAAAGATGAAAGAAAGAAAGAAAGAAAGAAAGAAAGAAAGAAAGAAAGAAAGAAAGAAAGAAAGAAAGAAAGAAAGAAGGGAGGGAGGGAGGGAGGGAGGGAGGGAGGGGAAAAAAAAAAGAAATTGATGTACAAAATGAAGTAGACAGCACACATTGCTTAAATCAGCTTCATTAGGCACAGTCTTAAGAGCAGAAAAGTCATGTAAGGTGTACAGTTGGACAAAATGTACATCATAAACCACCACTTCAGATGCTTGTAAAATACTCCCCACAGCCCATTGAGTCCTTGTGCTATTTCCTTTTCATTCTCTTCTACCCATCCCTTGCCTCCCAGGCTTGCCTGCTGTGGGGCTCTATATATGTGATCATACCACAGACATTCTTTGGATCTTGCTTTTCTCACTGAACATAAGGTGTTTGAGACTCATTCATGAATTATTCAGTAATACAACAACTCATTTGAGACTCATTCAACATGAACGCAGCTCTTTAAAAGATTATGCACATGCAGGGTGTGGTGCCACATGCCTGTAAACCCAGCACTTGAGAGGCTGAGGCAGGAGGATTGTTGGGAGTTCAAGGCCAGCTTGGGCTGTATAGTGAGACAAACAAAAAAAGTTATGCACATACAAAGAAAGGTGATATATAGCAGTTGGAGATGTAAGCAAGTTGCAAACCAATATATATATAATACAGTCCATATTGAACTAAATATAACTTTATATTATATATTTATGAATGTAAAATAACTTTGTGATGCATAAACAGATTTTCATTTATTGAACAGGCGATATGTTTTAGTGTGTGAGACTCCTAGTAACAGTTACTTGTGGGGAGCAGGACTGAAGAGATGGAAACTCTTGCTTCTTATTTTATAAATTTATAATGGTAGAATTGTGATATTTTTCTTTTTAGTATTTTTTAATGAAAATTGCATATGTATGTTTAAAAATATGTAAATATTTTTGTAAAATATATAAATATGTTTTAAAATATGCTTAAATATGTGTATGTTACTATATGTATATGTATGTGTATAGGTATATGTATGTGTGTAAGTATGTGTATATGTATGTTTCTTTTTATGGTACTGAGATCAAACCCAGGACCATATGTTTGCTAGGCAAGCACTGTCCCTGGGCTAAGTCTGTAATTTTTATTTTTTTTATTTATTATTTATTTTTAAGTATAATTTTTAGATCTCACTGTTTGGGAGTATAGCTCGGTGGTATATTGCTTGCCTAGCATGCATAATCCCCTGGGTTTAATCCCCAGTGCCCCTATACACTTTTTTTTTTTTTGCAAACTTTCAAATCCATCTCTAAGCTAGTTATAGTGGTACACACCTGTAAGCTCTGCACTCTAGGAGAGGCTGAGGCAGGAGGATTGCAAGTTTGAGCCTGAACAATTTAGAGAGACATTGTCTCTTTTTTTTTCTTTTCTTTTTTTTTTTTTTTTTTTTTGGTCTTTTTGAGACAGGGTCTTGCTGTGTAGTTCAGACTGGCCTTGAGCTCACTTTGTAGCCCAGGCTGGTCTCAAACTTGCAACAGTCCTGCCTCAGCTTCCCGAGTGCTGGGATTACAGACGTGCGCTACCACACCTGGCGGGAGACCTTCTCTCAAAACAAAAAACTGAAAAAAAAAGGCTGAAAATGCAGCTCAGTGTGAAAGCCCTGGGTTCATTCTCCAGGACAGGGGGTTGGGTGGGGGTTCCTGCAATCTTGCCAAGACGGTCTGCACTTCCTTTCTGCCACGTGTGCCAGCTGGAGGGGCAGTACTGGTCCCCACAGGGATGTACATGTCCACAGTCCCAGGAGTTCCACACCTGCTTCTGGGGGAGGGGGCCACACAACATCTGCCAGCAGCCAGCTTCATGCAGTCCATGTCCCCCTTTTAGGTCTTGTAACTGTTCCTCCCTCTTGCTGGTTGAAGGGATATAAAATTTTCCTCATGGGAAGCAATTTTGTGGTCCTTGTCAGCAATCTTTAGACCTTTTTTTCTCAGAAGGAGAAAGATCTTCAAGAATTACTATTCACGGACTGTTCAGAAATTGGCCCTGTAAAACTCTGAACCCCAATAATTTACAGTTCCCTGGAGCAGTGGTGCAAGGTCACACCTGCCCTAAGCAGGTGCAGAAGTAGGTAGGGGAGAGTACGCAGCTTGCCTGCTGTAACACAGCAGTCGGCGGGGACAAGAACTTGGGCCTCTGTGTTTGATCTTTCTTCCTTTTGTGGGAGACGCTCATGGACTTGTGTAGGAGGAATAAAGGCCAATGGAGGCACAGACTCGAATGTTCCCGAAGTCCGGGCACATGGCATGGATGAATGAAGCAGATCAGGTTCTGCTAGATGTGGCAAATTAGCCAGATCTTCTCAATGATCAAGAGAGGCCGTAAAACAGGATTTTAGTGACTCTGGCTCCCTACTTTTATGTGCTAGTAACTCATTCAAAATTAATAAAACGCTCCGGGCCAAGCAAAAAAAATCTTTCTGCAGACTGGAAAAAGGAAATAGCTGTGACTGTACAATTTCTGGTTTGCTGACCGCTCCTGACCCACCCTGACAATTAGGAGATGACCTCGCAGTGCACAGTTTGCGAGCACTGACTTTTGAACATTGCATTGTCCTTTCATATTTGCTCGGCTGCATTTTTTAAGGTCTTTTCCCCTCTCCAGACTCTAATTGTACATGTTTATTGCGTACATAATTTTTAAAAGTAGCCAGGTGTAGTGGCACATGCCTGTAATCTCAGCACTCGGGAGGCTGAGGCAGGAGCATCACCGTGAGTATGAGGCCAACCTGGTCTACATAGTGAGTTCAGGGCCAGCCTGAACTACATAGCAAGACCCTGTCTCCAAAACTAAAACAAAAACAGAACAAAAATTAGAAAAGCATGAAGGGAAGTATCTTATAACGCCTCTTACTGATACTTTACTATTTTCATATTATTTTTGAGGATGTACATATTTATTTGACAAATATAAAGGTACTTATTCAGATTTGCAACCTGCATTTCCATTCATTTTTATATCATAAGCACCTTTCTCTCAATTTTGTTCATTTTCCTTTTATTGTTGTTAATTTATTTCCAAAGACATCATTTTTAATAATGCACTGTAATACATTATGTAAATAAGGCATACTTATTCCAGCAGTTATTTCCTGTGTGTCCTTGGACAAATTACTTAACCTCTCTATCTCCATTTTCTCTCTTACATAATGGGGAAGGAATAGCATGTACCTTCTACAGTGAATGTAAGGATTGAAGGAGGTAATATATTAGAACTACTTAGAAGAGTACTTGACCTGAACATTAAATATGTCCTTGCTATTTGCTGTTATCAGTTTTATTCAAATGCATCTTTGAATTCTAAAGTATTTTTAAAGACTTGTTTATTTATTTCTCTTTTTGAGAGAAAGATTCACTATGCAATTCAGACTGGTCTTGAACTGTCTTTGTAGCCCAGGCTGTCTTCGAACTTGCAGCAGTCCTCTTGCCTCAGCCTCTTGAGTGCTGGGATTACAGGCGTGCGCCACCACACTGGGCCTCTAAGATACTTTTTAGAATTATTATAAGGGAGAATTGTTGGTGAAGAGTATTAACATTTGTAAGGTTCCTCATCCTTTTGGTCTTGCAACTTTCCAGTAAGCCTGTTGTAGTTTATACTTCTAGCAGGGCTTGGGCTTCCTGTTTCTCCTCTTTATCTGGAGCCTTAGCTATTTTCCCTTCCTCTGCTCTTCCCTGAATGACTGAGAACCACGGAGCCTTTCTGTTCAGAGGCCACCTCAAGCCGGACCTTTTCCCGTCTGTTCCAGACTGAGTTCACCTTTCTCTTAGGAAGTGGATCCTGGTTTACTCTTGCTTTGCAGGGCAAATCCAGACGGAGACGTTCCGCCCTGCGTCAGTGAGCTGAGCGCATTTAGGTGTGTTGGGAACCGCTCTGCGTTACGCTTTTGTCGTACTGGCCGGGATCCCACCGGCCGCTGATGTAACAGTGTGTGTGAGACGCTGACGCGGACTCTCCGGGTCTGTTCCAGAGACCACGCAGATCGAGGACCCGCGGGTGCAGTGGCGGCGGGAGCAGGAGCACATGCTGAAGGACTACCTGGTGGTGGCGCAGGAGGCTCTGAGCGCCCAGAAGGAGATCTACCAGGTGAAGCAGCAGCGCCTGGAGCTCGCGCAGCAGGAGTACCAGCAGCTGCATGCCGTCTGGGAGCACAAGCTGGGCTCCCAGGTCAGCTGTGAGTACCTCCCACCGCCAGACCCCTGCAGCGCTGGCAGGGGCCCACCGCGCAGCTGCTGCCAGTGCCCGTGCTGCTGCCCAGCACCTCTTACGTTGCCCGCTTTTCCCCGCCTCCGGTCCTTGCCCAAACCAGCATCCTCTTTCTGCCCACTCTGCTCCCGCCTGTGCCTGGGAAATGATTCGTTTGCCGTTTGTGCTCTGGTCCGCTCCGTCTCCTGTGTGAGCATCCCAGCGAGCTAGTTGCACTCCCTATGTCTTTGTTTAAAGGCTTCAGTGTCTGGGGGAGGCGGGGAGTTCTGTGTAGCGGGAGCATCAGTGTGGGAAGACCAAGTCCTTCACTGGAAGCCGTAGTAGATAGAAGTACGTTCCCCGCAGCGTGAGTATACTTAATGCCATGGAATGGTACGCTTAGAAATGGTCAAAACGGCAAATTTCTGTAAAGTATATTTTACTACATCTTAAAAACAAGCAAGGAACATTCAGTGCCTTCCCGTTCATCTATCCACAGCCTGCAAAGCCCTTTGCAAGGGGCCCCTCCTGGCTGCCCCTGCCTCAGCTCACATCCTTAGTCTCCAGACTCCGGACCCCCCGAGTTATCCCCACCTTGTCCTCACCCTCCACACAGTTTCACTGCCTGCCCCGTGCTTTTCTACCTCAGGGCCTTTGCATGTGCTTTTCTTCCTGAAAGCTTTTCCATTGCTCCACTTGCAAAGTGAGCTGCTTTGCCTCCTACAAGAGATCACCTCTGAGAGGCTTGCTTTGACAGCACCATTAAAATCCCTCTTCCCCAGCATTAACATTGGCCATGTTGCTGTTGATTTTCTTCACTGCAAATAGCACAACACATCTGTACACTAGAATATGGGCTTTGTAGGGCAGGGCCCTTACCTTATCATTCCCCCTGGTGTCCAAGGAGCGAGCAGGCTTCCCGTGTCCCCCTTGTCCTTTCCCAGCACTCTGAGGTGCTACATCAGAGGCTGAGGAGCACACTGACCTTCTCCAGTGTGCGGGGAGCTTTGTCTTTTACCACTGTTTTTTAAACCAAAGCTTGGCTGTTTACTGAATACCTGTTACATGTCAGCACTCTGCTGCAGTCTCGAATATACTACTTGAGTTAATCCTTATAACAGTTCTATGCAATGGAGCTATGAATTCGAGTGCTGTAAATAGCTCCCTTCCACAGATAAGGAAGTAAGTTTCAGGATCAACAGTGCGCCCTGGGTCTTCTGGCTGTTGAGAGACAATAATAAGTTGCAAACCCATCCTGCCATGCCCTCTGCATTTTCACTGAGGCCCAGGCCTTAGGGACTGTCTTGGTTACTTTTCTCTCATTGCTGAAACAAAATACCCAACACCCAAAATTAAGGAAGGAAAGTTCTATTTAGCTCACGGTTTGTGGAGGTTTCAGTCCAAAATCAGCTGGCTCTAAGGCAGGGTGGTGTGGCACAGGGGCAACAGTTCAAGGCAGCAGAAGACAGCAAAAGCAGCAAGAACAAAAAAAGCAGAGAGCAAGCCTCCTTCCCTCCCTTCTAATGTATGCAGGCTACCCGCCCCTGGGCGGGTGTAGCACTCACACCCATAACGCCAGCATTAGACCACGAATCAATCACAAACTGTAGAAGCCCGCCCCATGACTACATGGGGGGACGTCCAGACACAAACCACAGCAGGGGCCAACATCTGGCTGTGATGATGGGGTGGCCATGGTGTGGTTGGAGCTCTGGACACACTTCCTGTGTGAAGCCCATGCTTTGGGAAGCTCAGTCTGCTCGCAAGACGGGACAAACCGTGCTGGGCTACTCAGTGTCCCAGGCTGGCCCTTTTGGCCACTCAGGAAAACCCCTAGAATCTCAGAGGTGGTAGAAAGAAACTCTGTTGCCTTCGTTAGCTGTTTGGGGGTCAGAAAATATCCTAAAGACTGCTGGGACACTTTTGGCGCCGAATCTGTCCTCATCAGCTTGAGCAGCCATAGCAAAATAGCACCGATGAGATGCGTGCACACAGACGTTTATTTTCTCAGAGTCCCAAAGGCCGGACTTCTGAGTGCAAGAGGCCAGCACGGTCCCTCTGGGGAGAGCTCTCTCTTCTTGGCTGGAAGGTGGCGGCCTTCCCACTGAGTCTGCACATGGGGGTGACCAAGCAACGGACTGCAGGGACTCTGAGGTCGCTAGTACCTTGTCGTGACAGTTTAGCTTTGCGGTCCCATCCAAACCTGACTCGCTCCCAAAGCCCCCACCTCCAAATACCGTCACTTTGGAGGTTAAAGGTTTAACCTAGGAATCTGAGGGAAGAGTGGCTACGGTGCATCATATTGTCATTGCCCCCGTCCTGGAAGAGAGATAGTATTGTCTCTAGTGAAACTCAATTGAAAAGGTGAAGTGATTTTTTCTCTCTAAAGTTCCAGGGTTTGAAAGGGGACAGATGTATATAAAAACACATCTTCCTACTTTTGGGGTGCAGGTGTTTACATGGTTCCAAAGTATTACCCCACAGATCACTTACCAATTTCAGAGGGTAAAATGTACTTTCCCACTTTCGAAAGACGCGGCCACCACTTGTATCCTCAGAAGGACACCAGTTGACATCACGAACCATCTCATGCGATGCAGGAAAAGTGCCGCGGAGGCTCCCTCACAAAGATGTTTAATCTGAATCTAACTATGAACACAGCCAGACAAATCTGTAATGTAGAGGAGACTATAGGATCGTTGGCCTAGGTTTTGAACAGCCCAGAGAGACACACCAACCAAGGGAAGTGTTTGGTATTGAAGTAGAACTGCACTGGGGGAGAAACGGCCATCGAGACATTCTCAGACAAGTGGAGAATTTCCTTAGGTGTGGGAAAGACCTTATGGATATGTGGGAGGACGTCTTTGTTTTTAGGTGATGCGTGTGGTATCATGTCTACAAGTTATTCATAAAAAAGATCCAGGGGGCGGGAGCAAACAGGAAAGGAAAAAAACCACAAGTGATATCAAACTGACGGAGCATATCAGTAGATGTTGATGCTGCACGGCTGTCTGTGAACATGGTATGGATTTTTATCTTTCGCCACCATTTCTGGTCCTCATTTGCTGAAGGTTTACCATGAAGCAAGCATGCTACTGAGAGAAAAAAATTGGGGTTGGGAAGGGACGGATAGAACAAATGGGGAAATGTGTTAAAAACTGGTAGATCTAGGGCATGATATGTCCATGCTTATTATATTAGTCTTTCAAATTCTACATGGTTATAAAACTTTCAAAATTAGAAGTCATGGGGACTGGGGATTTAGCTCAGCGGCAAAAGCGCCTGCCTGGCAAGCGCAAGGTCGTGAGTTCGGTTCCCGGTACCGGAGAAAAACCAAAAAAAAAAAAAAAAAAATTAGAAGTCGGATGGGGAAAAGAGTCAAGTCAAGAGTGAAGTCAAGACTCAAGAAGAAGGAAGCGTCTCCCTGGAGAAACATTGTCGTAGGAGTCCGATGGGAACCGTTGGAGCTTGTGGTCAGAAGGCCTGGGTTCACGTGTCCCTTCTGGCAGTACTCATGCTTGGGGAGCACACACCTCCCTGCTTCCAGCCTCTGATGACTTATACTGAACTGTGGGAACAAGAGTAGTCTATCCTCTGACAGGTCTCCTCCAGTCTCAGCCATAGCACCACTAACATTTTAGGCTGGACACAGCTGTGTTGCAGAGGCTGCTCTAAATATTATAGGATGGTAGTAGCATCCCTGGTCTGTACCCACTAGATGCCCAGAGCACCTCATTCCAAGCTGTGACAAACAAATGTTTCTAGAATCTCCACCTGTGCCCTCAGATGCAAAACTGGCGCCAGTCAAAAACTGCTAGTCTGGGAAAAACATTCACCACATTTTCCACAAACCATGGTAAAGGCTCAGTAAAGTATCCTCATCGGCAGGAGGCACATCACATAGTATTTTGAGGGTGGATATTATAACCAGGCTGCCTGAATTTAAATCCAGGATACACAGATTACTACCTATGTAACCTGGTGCAAATTATGCCACTCCTGTGCCTCAGCTTTCTGTATATATATAAAATTGATCTAAGATGTATTATGTGGATGTACCAGCTCCATGATGAGTGTAATCATGTACTGCAAACAAGTCCTAACATAAATTTTTAAAAAATTGATCTAGGGGCTGGGGATTTAGCTCAGCGGCAAAGCGCCTGCCTGGCAAGTGCAAGGTCGTGAGTTCGGTTCCTGGTACCGGAGAAAAACCAAAAAAAAAAAAAAACAGAAAAAAAAAAAAAAATTGATCTAATAAGATGAGTTTCACAGGGTTGTTTTTGGGACTTAAATTAGCTAATAAAGTACTTGGGATAGTATGTATCATATTTTAAACTCCCAATAAATAATAATTATTATTCATTGGCATTGTTGGTGACAAAAATCTTTTTGTTTGTTTGTTTTGAGATAGGTCTTGCATTTCAGGCTGGCCTCAAACTCACCACAATCCTCCTGCCTCAGCCACCTTAGTGCTGGGATTGCAGATGTGTGCCACTACTCTTGGATAATGACAAAAAATTTTAATAGATCTCTGACACCAAGAAAAATTTAGGCTGAGCATCTCTAATCTGAAAATCTGAACTCTAAAATGCTCTAAGATCTGACATTTTTGAGTGCCAACCTGATTCTGTGAGAAACTTCTTACCATGAAACTTTATTTCATACATGAAGTTATTTAAAAATATTGTATAGCCAGGCATGGTGGTGCACACCTGTAATCCCAGCACTCGGGAGGCTGAGGCAGGAGGATTGTTACAAGTTCGAGGCCAGCCTGGGCTACAAAATGAGCTCAAGGCCAGCCTGAACTGTCTCAAAAAGACCAAAAAAATAAATAAAAATAAAAACATTGTATAAAATTACCTTTAGGCCCTGTGTAAGGTGTATATGAAGCATAAACGAATTTCTTCTTTAGACTTGGGTCCCATCCCCAAGATACCTCATTATGTACATGCACATTTTCCAGAATCTGAAAGTCTGAAACCCGAAACG